AGGCTAGCCTCCAACCCAGTTCATAGCTGAGGATTCACCTCCCAGGACTGTTGGGATTACAGGCATGCTCTACCATGATTGGATTTTATGAAGTACTAGGGACCAAACTCAGGTTTCATATATGCTAGGAAGGTATTCTTCCACTTGAGATACATAGCCAGCTTACCTGCAGTTTTTTTCTAGTAGTGCATTCTGGTGCAAGGAGTTGTATAGAGTTACAGAGGTGGCTTAGCCCTTAAAAAGGCTAAGGTTTCCAACCAAAGAGGACATAATTGCTTTTATAGCCAGGAATTTGATTTGGCACACTGCTAAAAGCTGCCACTATCTTAGTGCAGGGACACATACAGTCTCCTGGTACATAAGCAGAGAGGGATGGAAAAAGTCAAAGAAGCCAGCCTCTCCTTTGGAATACTTAGTAAAGCTTCCATTTATGCTAAAAGGGAGTCATAAACTCTGGTTGCTCAGGAAAGTGCTTAGTAGCTATCAGATACTTAATTAGATCTTCATTTGCATATTAATGGAAGGACAGAATTTAACCAGTTTTGCTCTGGGTCCTCTCCCCCTTTGTTGTTTTTTTGTTTTGTTTTGTTTGTTTGCTTTTTTTTATTTTCAAGACAGGGTTTGTCAGGTAACCCTGGTAGACCAGACTCATCTCAGACTCACAGAGATCTGCCTGCACTAGAAATAAAAATAAGCACCCAGGCTGGAGAGGTAGTAGTTAAGAGCACGGGTTGTTCTTGTAGAGGACCAGGGTTTGGTTCTCATCACCCACAGGGTGACTTACAACCATCAGTAATGCCAGTTCCAGGGAATCTGATGCCTCTTCTGGCTTCCTCAGGCACCAGACATGCAAATGGTGTACATGTATGCATGCAGGCAAACTCTACAAAGTCAAAAAAAATCTAAAACTGCACAAAATCTAAAATTGTACATGTATAATTTTTTAATTTAATTTTTTTCTTTTGGTTTTATATAAACAGAAGTTTCTCTGTATAACAGCTCAGGTAGTCCTGGAACTTGCTTTCTCTGAGTTTAAACTGGCCTTGAACTCAGAGATCACCTGCCTTTGCCTCTGAGTTCTGGAATTAAAGGTGTACACCACCGCTGCTTGACTAGTTTTTGTTTGTTTGTTTGTTTGGTTGGTTTTTAATGCACACATTTCCATTGGCATCTGCAGCACCTCCGGCTTTCTATGCTGGGTCTGTTTGGCACCCCAATTTCCTCTAGGTTATTTCTGTCCTTGCCATCATCAGCTTTCCTCTTTTCCCTTCTGGGTACCTTATCTTCCTGTCTTCTAGGAACTTTGAAGGAGAAGCAGGTCAGCAGGTAACATTGTGGCTGTTGTGGCTTGTTCATCACCTTGGATTTATTGCCATTAATGTCCCCTCCAGTCTTTATTCTGGTTATATAGTAACAATGACAATAGGCACTGAACATGGAAATATAGTGGATGTTGCTTTGATAGGGGGTTCATTCTTGATGATCACACAGAACCCCTGTAGCCCAGATTGGCATCAAACTTGATTGGTAGCTATGGGTGGCCTTGAACTTCTGATCCTCTTGCCTCCAAGTCTTAAGTGTTGGAAGGAACCCAGGTGTATACCATCATGCCCAGTTTGACATCACATTTGATAAACTAGCACATAGTACATAGATACTAATGTTACTGGACAGAAGAAATAATACAGGGCTCTCTAGTTGAGGCTCAAGTCAGTATGCATGACAGAACATCCATAGTGATCTAGTCATGGGAATGAAGACAGGCCCCATTAAGTAAAGGATATAGATCTTGCAGTGTTGATTACATTTTAATTAGGCAACTATGTGCTAATTTATGAGAAAGCAAGCTTCATAAGGTAATATGTGCTGCATGAGAAGCTCACATCTTTTGGGGACTTTTCAAAGAGGATGCTATGGCATAGAAGCAAGTGTCACAGTTAGCTGCTCTTTTCCCATGCTGTACTGCTTCAGTCTCACAGGGCTTGGGGTAGAGGCATGAGTCTCCATTGCTCAGGTTAGGATCAGCTCTGAGTTGTAACTTCAGCATGACAGTTGAGCAGAGAAGCAGAACAAAGGATTATTACAAGCTCTGAAGCAGGTATTGGCTGCCAATTTTTTCTTCCAGCTACAATTCTAACTGTCATCATTTAATTGGTGCTAGAGCCTAATAGCAGACCTTCAACAAATATCACGTTTGTTTGATCCCCAGACTTGGAGGTTTTCTGTGGAGGTCAGGTACCTGAAGTTCATCTGCCTGAGGTTACCACAGTTGGCATGACCTGATCTTAGCAGCTGGACGAGTGTCCCTGTCACCCCTGCCCCTTCCTGCCCTCACCTAGGAATACACAGTAGTCCCAGACCTGATTGGATAAGTTGGGACAGGAAGGGTGACAAAGCTGGCTAGTGGGCAACATGGGGTATGAGCTTCATGAGTCAGAGGCAGGGCTCATCTGGAAAACCTCTTGGGAGAGCCACACCTGGCTCATTAGTGGGTGTCTGGGGCTGTCTGAAGATGAAACGCTCTATTGCACTCCTTGTTTCTTTTTTATATTTGGACAACCTAGTATTCAGTCTCCAGGGGCTTCTGATCTGAGATCTATGCACTGGTCTGGAATTTGCTACAGATGAGTAGGGAAAACAAAACAGAACAAAAATAAGCCTTAAGCCTGAAGACGTTTTTTAAAAAAGTGAGGAAACTCTCAGTAGGCTTTGATGCTTCACCTTGTAAATTGGATTCTTTGCCATCCACCTCTTACATTCCTGGGTTTAGATGCACTCTGTCTTGACCTGTTCCTTCGCCTTCTGGGTTTGGGGTGTGTGTGTCGATGGTTTCTAGACTCCAGAGAGTGCCAACAGCTGGCATATGGTGATGGATAGGAATAAGCCGCCACTGACACGTGCCTCCTGAGGCACAGAGAACTGCTGGCATGGCAGTTCTGAACCCTTTTCACGTAGTTTCAGGGTTGTGTTTCTAAGTGGTGGGGCACTGTAATCAGACGTTCAAATTCATCCTGGGCACCTGAGACCCTAGTGTAAACATTTTAAGGTGGCTGAAGAAATGACTCAGTGGTCAAGAGCACTTGTTTTTCTAGAAGACCTGGGTTCACTTCTCAGCATCAGCAGCTCACAACTGTTTTTTTTGGTGGGGGGGGATTTATTTATTTACATATTTTACATATGTCTATATATGTCCACATGCTAGAAGAGGCATTGGATCCCATTATGGATGGTTGTGAGCCATCATTTGGTTCTTAGGAATTGAACTCAGGTTCTCTGAAAGATCAGCCAGTGCTCTTAACCATTAAACCATCTGTCTAACCCCTGTCACAACCGTTCATAACTCCAGTGGAATCTGATGCCTTCTGTGAGCACAAGGACACATGGTGCAGACATATATGCAAGCAAAATACTCATACCTAAAGTTAAATAAATAAGTATGAAAATAGTAGAGCATTTTTAAAGTTTTTTTTTTTTTTGTTTGGATGAGAGTTGGTTTTGAGAGATGGTCTTGTTGTGGAACTGGCTTGGAACTTAAGATTCTTCTGACTCCACTTTCTGATTGAGTGAGGAGACCGCAGGTGTGAGCTAGCACATGCGTCTCAGATGCACAGCTCTGTGGCTGTCCTGTGACTGGAAGGGAATGAATGCAAACACACATGACCTCTGTCAGTAGCACTGGCTGGAATGGGCATGTTGTCTTACATCTTCACAGTGGTTCTTCCTGCTCTCCTTGTACATTGAGCAGGTGTGTGTTAGGTGTCTGCTTGCTGTATACCAGTAATACCATGCACGAGCATTTAGTTTGTTGGAGCTGGAGGTGGGTTAATAGAGACCTTAGGAATTAATTTAACTGTTGAATCACACCAGGAACCCAAAGGTGCAAGGGCTTTTGGGTTAACTAAAAGGGAACTTGAAGCAACCAGGGGTTTTGAACAGAAGAACCATGTGACCTGATTTGGCCTCTAAAATCACTCTGGCTTTTTTGTGGAGAACAGGCTGAAGGGGTTAGGGAAGATGCAGGGGTGAGATAGAGGTCACCTCTTTGCAGGTGACCTTGTGGAACAGCTCCCTGGGCAGGCTGCAGAGAACAAAGCCACCCCCACCCCCAGCGCAGTGTGCAGTATGGACAGGGCACAAGTTCCAGCAGTTGAGAGTTGCAAGGCTCGGGCTGGAGAGATAGCTCAGCCGTTAAAGGCTAGGCTCACAACCAACAATATAAGACAATGGCAAAGCTCAGCTTCTTTCAGGTGTCATGCTTGCTGTTTTTCTTCCTCATTTACATTGGTAGAGAAGGAAAGTCGAATTACAGAGTTAGAGGAACCAGCTCTTGACTAGAGCAGAGCCTAAACCTGGGAACCTGGCAAGCCTGAGCCTTGTCAGGAGTCACAGAGAGCCACTCCTCATTCCACTCTCTTGGGCTCTTCTCAGAAGTCTCGGGGAGGTTGGCGGAGGGCGAGGCACAGACAGGTTTGTGGTGCTTTGGGTGTAACAGAACATCAGAACTGAAGTGACTTTAGAAATAACCAGATAGAACCTTCTCGATTTCTAGGTGGAAGTCTGCAAAGATGAAGTAAGCGACTTCCCTAGAGTCACTGCAGATTACTGGCATATCAAGGGTCCTGTGTGTCTCCTACTTTGCTTCTGCTCTCAGAACTTCAGTCAGTGTGTGTGTGTGTGTGTGTGTGTGTGTGTGTGTGTGTGAGAGAGAGAGAGAGAGAGAGAGAGCGTGTGTGTTAGTGTGTGTGTGTGAGAGAGAGTGTGTGTATGTGTGTGTGTGGGCTCAGCATTCTTGTCCCTCCTGGTGCTCAGCCAGCAGTGAAGGAACTCCAGCTAAGACTGGCAGTTACCATAGATCTGAAGTCCTTACGAGCAAGTGATGGTAAGGACATTGTGTTTCCTTTGTCTAGGATCGAGCTCTCCATACCAGGGACCAGGCTAATACCAGACTACCACTGCCCCTACCTAGGCTCCATTGACCTCAGAAAGCAGCCACTGGAATCATGGGCAATATCTTTGGAAACCTTCTGAAGAGCCTAATTGGGAAGAAGGAGATGCGCATCCTAATGGTGGGCCTGGATGCTGCAGGGAAGACCACCATCCTGTACAAGCTAAAATTGGGAGAGATTGTCACCACCATTCCTACCATCGGTAAGGGCAAGCTTATTTGCGGGCTGAGGGAAGGCTGGGGGCCTGCTCATGGATCTCCCACTTGGCTTGTTCTCCCCAGGCAAGTCCACACATTTCATGGGATTCAGAGACAGTGTCTGTTTAACTTACTGGCAGGTGCTAGAGCTGCCGTTTGCCCACCTGCCCTGGCCCTCCCTGATGCGGGAACTTCCGCAGCCTGGCACTCAACAGTTACCCTCAGGCATTAGAGTTGGTTTGTTCTCTGTTGTTTGGAAAGCAGGTGAAGGACTTTGAAGTTCCTGCCAGAGGCCTGGAATTGCTTTGGTTTAGATCTTCAGTGGCGATCTTGGTTAAGACCTGCCTGCGCAGGGCAGAACATTTGTTACAAACATGGGGCTTTGGGTCATCATCCTCAGACGTGGGACTCCAGCACTGTAGCTTATGTCTCATTCTTTCCTCTGCCTCTAGGCCCCTCAGCTTAGCTTAGGTACATTTTAGTGACCAAGGGACAGAATAGAGTTGTTTCTTTGTAAAATGGAGAACCAGAATCTGAATGAATGGGGAGAGGATTGTTCATATTACCCAGGAAACTGTGAACCTTCTGATTAGACCTCACTGTTTTTTATTTCTTAGGTTTTTTCCTTCCGTGTGTGTGTGTGTGTGTGTGTGTGTGTGTGTGTGTGTGTGAGAGAGAGAGAGAGAGAGAGAGAGAGACAGAGACAGAGACAGAGAGACAGAGAGAGAGAAAATGGGAATGAGAATGTGTGTTTTTTTCCTGTGTGTGTGTATGTACACCATATGCATGCATGCCTAGTGTCCATGGAAGATAGAAGAGGGCATCAGATCCCCTGGAACTGGAGTTATGGATGGTTATGAGCTATGTGGGTACTAGGAATTGAACCCTAATCTTCTGCAAAAACAAGTGCTGTTAACCACTGAACCATCTTCCAGCTCTTTTAGATTTTCTTTTAGGCTACCCAAGTCAAGGATTACCACCAGGTCCTAAGATTCTGTCATTTGTGTCTTGTCCAGACCTTAGAAGAGAGAAAAGGAAGTAAACTCATTGGGTCACTATTTGTAGGTCTGATGTTTGAGGCCAGTAGCCATTGACATTTTTTCCCCCCAAAGGGTTTAATGTGGAAACCGTGGAATATAAGAATATCAGCTTCACAGTATGGGATGTAGGTGGCCAGGACAAGATTCGACCCCTCTGGAGACACTACTTCCAGAACACCCAAGGTATGGCAGACAAACTTCCCCAGGGGTTTATTGCAGAGCATGGCTGTCTTCCTCAGATATGGGTAGCCAGTCCTTGCCCTGATGCAGCTCCTGGAAGTGGAGAAAAGGGAATATGTGTTTGGATGGTGTGGTGATGGGGGAGGAGACATCCGTTATCTCTATATGTTCCATCCTGTCTCTGCCTCTCTAGGCTTGATATTTGTGGTTGATAGCAATGACCGGGAACGGGTAAATGAGGCCCGAGAGGAGCTGATGAGGATGCTGGCAGAGGACGAGCTCCGGGATGCTGTGCTGCTCGTGTTTGCAAACAAACAGGTGAGATGTCTCCCTTTTCCTCATGTGGGAGACTGTACCTGACTGTAGAAACCATGGAGCCTTGGGTGGGGTTCATGTGTGGGAAGACCTGTGACTACTGTCGTCAGTGTAGTAGAGGGGGGAAATACAAGCAGTTGACTTCTTCATGCCCCTTTCCTTGTTCCCAAACCCAGTTGTACTTAGCAGCATTTTAGTCCTCAGGATTAATGTGGTAGCTATGTTTCTTCAGGATTTTTATCTTTGCTGCCGTGCACTGTGGCGGAACTGGCCTTGCCCTGTCAGTCTTGATTCTTTGGCTGTGTGATTCACACATTTATCATGCTGCCACTCCTCGTGGAATAGCTGTCTACTTCACTGGGCCTGGAGTAGTCCCTTCAGATCCTGAGATGAAGGAGAAGGTGGCCGTTTGTGTGCTTCTGGTAAATGGGTACTCTAGAAGGCTGTGGAAGACCCTGAGGTATCTGTGTCTCCCTTGCCCTGCAGGATTTGCCGAATGCTATGAACGCTGCCGAAATCACAGACAAGCTGGGGCTGCATTCTCTGCGTCACCGCAATTGGTACATTCAGGCCACCTGTGCTACCAGCGGGGACGGGCTGTATGAAGGCTTGGACTGGCTGGCCAATCAGCTCAAAAACAAGAAGTGAGAGCCAGGCAGCCCTTCTGACTACCCCACCCACTCCTGACACATACCTGTTGTCTCCCTACCCCAGTCTACCCTCTCATTCCTCTTGAAAGTGTGGTTGAGGTCCTGGGTATCATGTCTCCATGCCCAGAAAGAGCCTTGCCTCCTGTGCTTCCCTTCCTCCTTCCCTGTCCTGACATGGTCAGTCCCCAGCTGCTGTCCTGATGATGAGTCATTCCAATTTACTGGATTTAAAACAACTGAGGCTGTTATGGTTTCATGGGGTGGTCTCCCTGTTGGGCTTCAGGAGGAAGAGTGGGGGTGTTCTCTCTGTTTGCTGTTTGGCACTGGTTGCTGTGCCCTTGGCATCTGAGCCCCTTCCCTGTCTCCCTGGCCACTCTCCTCCCTGTCTTCCTTTCCTTCTACACCCTTTCCTATTCTACATGGAAATTGCACGGGCCTCTCTGTGTGTGCGTGCATGTGTGCGCCTGTATATACGTGTATAAAGAGATATATATGTGGGTGTAGGGGGGAGGGAACGGAGTGCAGCTCAGGACTTGCAGCCAGGACACTGCCCAGTGCCACCTATCATCTGCCCCTTCTGTGTGGTGAGATAAAGGGGAAAATGTGGGTGGGTCCCATTGCTTTCCTCTCTGCAGGTGGTGTTCCTGGATGTTAGGACAGATGGTGGACTCTGCAGCCGTCTTCCTTACATTTCTTCTCCACCCTTATGATCATAAGAAATGGCATTTATCTCTAGATGACTGTTCCTAAGGATTAGATGCCATTCTACACTGCCTCATTGGTAGGGAGGAGAGAGGAACCCACTCACTTTTCATCAGTCCAGAGTGTTCTATTGGTCCTCCTCCACTTATAAGTTCTACTCCCCAGGAGCTCAGAGGGAGGTGGGTTGGTGGAACCTGCATGTCAAAGGGTGGAGTTTGGTCTGTTTTCCATCTTGTTCTTGTTACTAAGAGAAGGTAAGGCATGGAGCAGCCCTGCTTCTGCCGTGTTATACCTTCCTCAGTCTTCTGATCTTGGGGTCTGGGTGGCTCCCTCTGTCCTATGTCAGATTTTCTCACCTAGTAGTCTGCTGGTCTGCTGAGGACTGACCAGGTGATGTAACGAGAAGCCACGGAGTGGGGGGTAACAGAGCAGACCTCATTGTCAACCCCCTATGTGTGCTCCAGTCTCTTTTTAGTGCAGGACCAGATAGAAGGTGATTGTCTGCTGTTTGCGGGCCTCAGACAGTCCTTGCTGCCATCTCCCCTCCTTCCTGGCAGCTTTCGTCAGCTCTCCCACTCTTTCCCCGAATAGGTCTAGGTGGTTGGAGTGGAGGGAACGGGACCCTGTGTGGCTGGTGCTGGGACAGTGATCTTCAGGGCCCTGCCTCCGTTCTTCTATGGTTGTTCAGGTGCTGCTGCGGGTGGGTCTACAGAGGGCGCTTGTTCCTGAGGCTCTGACCTGGCTCATGATACAGTCATTGCAGTGAAGCTGTGGCTGCTCTGTGGGCTCCTGTGTGTGCTGGCTGCGCCCTGAGCTCCCAACCATCGGCCATAACCTCCCTGCTAAGGTCAGGACACTGGGCCCTCTGCAGCATGGCTGAGGAAGACTTCCCAGAAGGGCTGTTGAGTTCCCCTTTGGCCAGGGTTCCTGCCAGCTCTGTACAGCAGGCAGGTCAGTTCCCCAGCCTACCCCAGCTGAATTGTGAGAGGTCCCAGGGTGTCCCTCAGTGGTGTGTGTGTGTGTGTGTGTGTGTGTGTGTGTGTGTGTGTGTGTGTGTGTGTGTATGGGGGGGTGCTGGGAGTTCTGTTTCATTTTAAAATGAATTACTCTCACTCCAGACACTACCCTCCACACTTTCTTTGCTGTTCCGTTTTTTCTCACCTCTTTTGCCACTCTATGAACTCTGCTTTGCCTTCTCAGTTCATTCACCATTGTTGCCTGTCTAGTTTTCTTTTCCTCGTTTTTTGTCTTCTATTTGATTTTCTGTTCTATCTTTGTGATTGGTGAGGACTTTGCCTCTTTCTCTGCCACGCTTTCTGACCTTCCTTCTTAGATGCTAGTTCCAAATAGGTTTTGTATATTACAGGCTTCTTCCACTCCTCAACCCACTCTCCCAGCATCTTGTTTTTATCAGCCTCCTGGGACCAACCTGAGGCAGAGCAGGCTGAAACAGCCTTGGATGTTGCCTTGGTGCTGCTCCAGATATTGTCCAGCAGGGGGCAGTAACACCTTGGTAGCATCGTTGGCTCCTGGGGGGCAGGGGTACTTTCTGTATTCCCATTCACCTAACAGGTCTTTGGGGGTTGGAAGTTCTATTCCATTTCTGTAAACGCCCTCTCCTGCCTTTCCCAAGTTGGTTTAATTTTTGATCTTCCTTGTTCCAGCTTTCTGGGGATTCCCCCTTCCCTTCACCTCCAAAGTTTGTGATGTTACAGTGGTATCTGCAGTTAGGAAGTGGGTTTTTTCTTTTTCCTTTCTCTGGAATGTAGACTGTATGTGTTTAATAACTCACCTTCTCTATCCTTGCTCAAAAATGTGGGATAATGCAATGACTGTGACCCTGGTTGGCAATTAAACTTGTCTCATGCAGTTCTGGAGGGGACTTTCATGCTGTGTGGCAGCGGGAACACTCCGTTACTGGTCCCTTCCTTCCTCTGCAGAGGTGCGAGGATGCTTCCGTGGGTGCAGAATAAGTCACGGAGGAACTTAGGTTTGTTGGGAACACTGACTGTGTGTCCTTCTTCCCATCACACCCAGAAGGAAGTCTAAATGAGCCAAGCACCAGAGCGTGAGGGCTCGACGACTGACTCTGAAGGGCTCAACCCTGAACTTAGCTCTGTCTACCACCCGTTGATAGACTTCAGGGCAGTGTGGGTAGAGACACCTGTGGGGGTGGAATGACCCTTTCACAGGGGTTGAATAGCAGATATCCTGCATATCAAATATTTATATTATGACTCATAACAGTAGCAAAGTTACAGTTATGAAGTAGCAATGAAATAATTTTATGGTTGAGGTTTAGCACAACATGAGGAACTGTATTAAAGGGTCATGACATCAGGAAGGGTGAGAACCACTACTTTAGGGACTAAAACAATTAGAGGGCCCCGAACTTGGAGAGCCTCTTACTTCCTCTAGTCAGATATTTCCAACTTAGATAGGTGTGTGTAGTCCAAATATGGCCACCCTGTGCATAGAGTGGCCTCTTCTCACCCATCTAAGCCTGGATTTGGGGAGTAAGCACAAAGGGCAAACATCTGGACAGTATAAAAACTTGATTTGCTGGTCAGTGCCATGCCCTGTACAGCTAGCTATGTTTGGGTTCCCATGTCAATGCTAACCCTCATCCAGAAACTCCACACGTGTCCTGGGTGATGCATCTTTTCTGTGACACTGACATTCCCCAGTTCCTTCCATTTCTCTTTCCTCTGCTCTGTTTGACTCCACACAGAGAAAAAGGGATAGTGAGTAGGGAAGTACCTCCCTCTTGCCCCTTGCTTCAGTACTGAGTTTGAGTCCCACGTGCTACTATGAGCTTTTAATTTATATGCAGTTTCCTCCCTATTTCTTTCCCTGCTAGTTTTCCTTTCAGCCTTTCTCTCGTTACCGAGTCATCACTCTCAAGAACCAGTGCTGTTTCCTTGTGTCTCTGGCTTCCAAACCACTGAGCCACACACCCCTTCATCGGCCCTCTGTTTTTAAGCCTTACTTACTGTCCTTCCTCCAGGCTCCCTCAGCTCTTAGTTAGGAACATCTTTCTCAAGTTCTCTGTTTATTTATTAATAAATAGATCACTTTCTGAACCGTATTTTCTTTTCCTTATTTTGGTTTTTGAGACAGGGTTTCCTGGTGTAGTCCTGACTCTCCTGGAATTTGTTCTGTAGACCAGGCTGGCCTCAAACTCACTCACAGAGATCCACCTGCCTCTGCCTCCCAAGTACTGGGATTAAAATTGTGTGTCACTGCATGCCTTGCTGACCCCAGACTTGTAACCATCCTCCTGCCTTTGTCCCCCAAGTGCTGGGTTACAGGTGTGTGCCTATGAGCCTAGCCACGGCTGTAATTATTCATAAGACAATAATAGAAGCTGGGTGTCGTCATAATCCCAGCATTCTGGAAGCATAGATGGGAAGACCTCTGAAAGTTTGAGGCCATCCTGGTCTATGTTTGTCTTACCCTTTCCCCCCACAAAAAAGTACATACTGAAAAACAATTCATTTTGATGACAAGCTGGTGACACCAGAACAACTTAGGGAAGCGGGTGATTGGTTCTTTCCTGTGATTCAAGGGAGCTAGAGGAGCCCTCTCTGGCTTTTGCCCAAACCTATCAGCTCTGAGGGAACACGGGATGTGGGGAGTGAACCTAAAGGTAAGCCTAGGTATCTTAAGGCAGACAGCCTCCCATGAGTTGTTTGTCATAATTTGACAAAGAACCCAGATCCAAGTAATAATACCACTTAAGAATAATCTGGGAAAGGCAGCTTCTAAAACTTGGAGGAAGTGGACTTAGGTGAGCGTAGCTGGGATGAAAGGCAAAACTGTCCCTTCATAGGGATGCATTTCTTATCCTTGAGATGTACTGTTTGCAGTTCCTGGGGGCTCTTCCACCTAATCTCCAGTTCAGCACACCCATTCAGGTAGAATAGAAAGTGAGCAGACATGTACTGCTCTCTCTGTAGTTAGGCATTTGCTTAAAATGGGTTAAACCAGTGTATTCAGGGGGAGCTGGGTGGGCACCTACTTCAGGATGCTCTGGAATCTTTAATCTCGGGAATGGCCGAGGAGTATGCCCTTCCTTTCCTTTCCTGCTGGTCAGTACAGGGAGAGAGTGGTATCCCTGGGCAGGCAGCACTAAGTACCATCGTTGGTTCCTTTTCTAACCCAGTAGCTGGAGAAGTCACTGGGGAACAGCAGAATCCAAATACTTTCCTTCCTCTGCAGGCTTCTCTAATTGGCTTTCCTGACTCTAGTTGCTGGAATTGGTAAGAATGACCCTGAATTCTTGAGAAAGGTGCAGAGGGTTAGGGCCAAGGAAGTGGAAACCTTGAACATGGTAAAGAGAGCAAAGTTGGTGAAGGCATGAGGGCCCGGAAGTGAGGAAGTTGGATCAGGACTGTCGCCTGTCAAAGCTAGTAGGTAAGTATCTGCTTGTGTGTATGCCACTGTGGCTGCCAGCTAGCCTTAGGGGAGCGTCTGGGCTTCAGTTAAAGCCAGGGTGACTTGTAAGCTGAGAATGGGAGAGGAGAGGACACTGGAGGTAAACTGCTGAGTCCTGTGGATAGAGCTGAGCAGTTCTCTATGCAGGCTTACTCCACTGACCCACCTCCCACCAACTCATCTCACAGCCACCTTCCTTGGAGCTCTGGCAGGCAGACAAGGCAAAAACTTTTGGACTAAATCTTTCAACTGTGCCCCTACCCTGACTCCTCCATTCTGTGTATTTTATCAAGAGACCTAGTATAGCTCACTGATAAACCACTTGCTGGGAGGACCTGGGTTTGATCACTGGAACTTTGTACACAAAAACCAGCTATCTTCACCAGAGCTGTCCTAGGACACAGTTGAATACAGAGACTTAAACGGCATAGAAGACTGAGCTTGAGGCTCTGAACCACAGGACTTTACAAATACAGCAAAGAAGATCCACGTGCTACAGGTTCTAGATGAGAGGGGAATATGTGTTCTGTCTTTGCCACATCTTGCATGGATGAAGTGATAAGTATTCTTGGCTAAAGCAGCCACAAGATTTGGGTGCTAATTTCATCATTCTTGGATGGAGTGTATGAGCCATACCTAAAAGGGGCCAGTGGAACATGTGCTTCATGTGTTCAAGACTCTATGTTCCATCCTCAGTACCAGGAAAAAAAACAACACAGTAAAGCCTTGATTCAGTCTCCAGTGTCGGGGTGGTGGAAGCCAGGGTGCTGCTTACACCTGGCTGCTGTGTACCCACAGCTGAATAAGCCATGCTGACTCCAGACACTTCAAGGCTCAGACCTTTCTGGGTGTGGTTTTCCACTTGTGCCACTAAGCAGCTTTCCTGCCTTTCTCAGAATCATAATTTAAGTTCTGTCTCAGTCCAACGGAAATTATTCTTCCTGACCCTTCCTGGGGCATTTCAGTAAGTTGCCCTCTGTTTTTTTTTTTTTTTTTTTTTTTTTTGAGGTGGTGGAGGTGGGGGCTTGGGTGGGTCTCATCTGTGGCCCAGTTGGCCTAGAACTTGGTACATAATATGTCTGCTTCTGCCAGTCTCTTCAGAGATCAAAGTCACACCACGTGCCCAAGCCCCTCAGTGTGAGACAGTCTTAGACAGTGCCTTACAGAGCCTCAGAACCTAGACCCCCATCTACCTGTGTGCCACCACTCCGTTTAGCCGCTGTTCTGTGAACCGTGTGATGACAGCTGCAATCAATCACTCAGTGTTCCCGCTGTCTTCAGTACTCAGGGTTCTCTGCAGCCTGCTCTTACCCTCCCTCTTGCCTCTTTCCCTTTAGCCACACTGGCCCATGCATTCCCTTCGGACATTTGGCCCTTGCCTTTAACCCTCTTTCCTCACTTGATAAAAATCCCACATTAAGGGGCTAGGGATGGAGCTCAGGTGGTAGAGTGCTCACTTATTATGCAAGGGACTGGGTTCATAACCAACACTGCATAAGGACATATGGTATAATCTTTTTACTATACAGGGTCTTTTTACTCTTCTACCAGGGGTCCCGTTGGCTCTGGTAGCACATTCACAAAACACCTACACAGACCCTTATAGTGGCAGTTCTCAGCCTGTGGGTCATGACCCCTTTGGGGATCATATCAAATATTCTGCATATCTGACACTACAGTTATGAAGTAGCAATGGAATTTGTGGTTGGGGTCACCACAACATGAGGAACTGTATTAAAAGGTTGCAGCATCAGGAAGGTTGAGAGCTTTTGTATTGATTCAGATCTTGTTCACTCACTTATTTTTATGATCAAGCAGTTTCTATCTATTGTCAGTGATCCAGACAATACATAAGTATGCATAGATGTTAGGCATACATTCAGTGGAACACCATGTTGTACCTGCCCCCTTTACTCGTCCCATTCCCACCCAAAAACCTAACTATCCTCAGCCATTGGGGTACATTCTTTGGGGTTCCTTTTTTTTTTTTTAAGAGACAGGGTCCTCGGCCAAATCGGATGGAATACAACTTTATAATTCCAGCACTCAGGAGGCAAAGGCAGGCAGATCTTTGTGATTTCAAGACCAGCTTGATCTATTTAGCTTGAGATCCACACTAGCCAGGACTACATAGACCCTGTCTCAAAGCAAAAACAAACAAACAAAAAAGAGCCTCACCAGAACTAACACTGCTTGGTGGCTGCAAGGAAATGGTGAATGCTTGGAGAGCTCTTAAAGTGACCAGGCTCTCATTCCCTGTCTCAAGATGGGGAATGGCCAGAGGGGGAGGGAGAGAGGGTCTTGTGTATCTCAGGCTGGCCTATGAACTCAGGTAGCTGAGAATGACTTGGATTCTAGTTCTTCCTCCACCTCCCAAGTGCTGGCATTACAGTGTAATGCCACCAAGCAGTTAATGCAGTGCTGTGGTTGAATGTGGGGTTTTATGCATGCTAGGCAAGCATTCTACTGAGCTGCACACTCCGCCCCCAGCCCAGCCCTTGCTCTTTTTCTGAATATAAGCACCTACACATATTTGGGGAGGATTTAAATTTGAGTTCAAATCACATGTACTTCTTAAATTGAAGTTTATATATTTGTTTTAGAGATTTTTATAGTATGGTTATTTTAAATGATTTCTCAACTAATAGGTCAACAATTTATTAAAAATAAAACATCTGGCTAGTTGTGGCTTGAATGCTTATAACCCCAGCACTTGAGAGGTAAAGGAGGAACTTGTGTTCAAGGCTGAGCTAGTGAGATGTTCCATGGGAAAAGACACCTGTCGCCAAGCCAGATTACCTGAATTCTGTATGGGGCCACATGTGTTGGAACAGCTCTCCCAGCTTGTCTTCTGATTCCACACATACCTGCCTGTAAACACATGGAACAAATAATTCACATATACTGTGGCACGTGCCTTGAAGGCATGGTAAAGGAAGTCCATGAACGCTGGAATAAAAAAAAAAAAAACATATTTACTTGGGGAACACACACAATGAAGGTAAATAGCTGTTGAAGTCTTCTGCTCCTGGATGTGCAGGATTCTGTGATGCAGGATGCTCAGACCACAAAGACAAGAGAGAGCAAGGCTCCTCTAACCAATGATAACTTCTGTCTGCTCACCAAAGCTACACCCTAAGGTCAGTACCTCAAATCTATTGGCAGAACAAGATGCCACTACACTTAACCTTTTTTTGTCTAAGTAAGAGGGTTTTAAAACCTGATATAAAAACTATATATAACAACAGGTATCAAGTATAGTTCAGGAGAAAGGTAAAAACGTATATAAATTTAGACCTATACAACCAGCAAGAGCAACACAATCAAGAAACACATACTAAATGTCCAGGCCAAGAGTAAATGGCATATTACAGATTACTCCAATAGCTCCCCCATTTTGGAAAGTCTAAGTCTTGTACCTAATATGGTCTAGCTAAGATAAGAGAGGATATTAGCTGTGCCTATCTAGTCTTCAACCTCATCAAAGATCTGTAAACACCTGCCATAAATAAATAAATTTTGTTTTGTTTCTCGAGACAGGGTTTCTCTGTAGCTTTGGTGCCTATTGTGGAACTCACTTTGTAGACCAGGCTGGTCTCGAACTCTGCCTCCAGCGTGCTGGGACTAAAGGTGTGTGCTCTGAGTTTGTGTTTGTTTAAGACAGAGTTTAAATATGTAGTCCTAGGTGGCCTGAAACTCACAGGAATTTGGTTAAAGGCGTGCACCACTATACCGATAGAGGAGAGCCATCAGAAAGGCCAGGGCAGGAAGGTCAGCTTGTTTCAAATACGAGGAATTGTGTGTTGGGTGTGTAGGGTGAGTTGCTGGCCAGACAGGTGGAGTTGAGACTGAGAACAGTAACAGTGCTAAAGAGGACCTTGAGCCAAGAAACTGCCTAGGAGTATGGTATGGAAATTAGCCTCCAGGAGACAGCCTTTGAGTGAGCAGGGTCTAGGTACCACAGCTTAGGTTTTCCGGAAGGGTTCAAATCATGAAAAGGGAAACAGGTAAGATCGCCTAAAATTACTGGAAATCCTTCCAAAAACTCGAGCCCTTGCACAAATACAAGACCGTTGTACACATGCTGTTGTGAAAAGGGTGTTGAGGGAAAACAGGAGGAAGGTTAGCGACTGATTGATTACCTTTTTACAGGAAGATAACCCTCCAAGACAGGGCCAGTGGAGCTGCTGCCAGCCCCTTTCTGGACAATATTGAGGGCAGAACGACAGGCAGAGGTGAAGAGCTGGCTGCCTTGGACACCTGCTTCTGCCTGCTTAGTGGGAGGGAGCATATCTTAGAAAAAACAAAAACAACAACAACAACAAATGGAGTCTTGTGCTTGGACCCTCCCTGTCACCGGTTGGCATGATGGCCTTGGGCACGTTCCTTAGCTGTAAAATGGGGACAATTATGCCTCACGTGACTCGAAGGCTAGAGACTAGCGCCTCTTTGCAGTGGGTAATGGCAAATAGGTGCTATCACCTGGCCCAACCCTGGTCTTGGGACTGAACGGCTAATGGATGGGTCAGAATCCCTTGGTGACCTCGGATCGCCGGGTAGGGAATACTGCTGCTTCTTCCCTCGAGGAGGTGGGGACAAGGTGGAGGGAGGGCTGCAGCAGGAGGAGGAGCTCGCTTCTTGCGACCCGCCCATACCAGTCTGGCCTGGAGCTGAGGGAACGTGTCCTGGTCGCCTGCTTCTGAACAGCCTTTCCTGCCTGGTGCCCCGACCTAGTCCCGTCATGTCCCTGCGCCCCTTGTTCTGGCCGCTCCGGCTGCTGCTGCTGCTTCTGTTAAGTGGGGCGGTGTGCCGGGCTGAGGTCGGGCCAGAAACCGAAAGTCCTGTCCGGACCCTCCAAGTGGAGACCCTGGTGAGGAGACTGTGCGCCATCCCCTATGCCCCCCAAACCCCGTTACTCCCCGCCACCGCCACCCTTCAAGGCCAGCCAGGGGCCGTGGGGGGAGCAAGGGGCTCTAAATGAACCTGTGAACGAAGAGAAGAGGAAGTGCTGGAACTGAATCGGGGAGGGGGGGAAAGGTGCTGGGTCTCGCTGTAGTAACAGGGTCTTAGGAAGAGCAGCAGCCTTGACACTTGTAGTCTGATCATAGGTACAGCCCCCCGAATCGTGTACGGAATCAGCTGCCTTTGGAGACACGCTCCACATACACTACACGGTGAGGGGCCTGGGGGGCCGGGGCGTGGTCTGGGAGGGGGCGGCGCCCGCATGAAACACGTCAGCTTTGGCTTGGACACGTGGCAGGCTGTGCGAGAGAACTGAACCCTAGGGTCCTCTAGCACGTGGAGACGGGAGTCAGGGTGTCCTGTTGTCGGCTTCTTTCTCCTTCCTTCTTTCCCGCCAGTTTCTCTCCAGCACTGAGAAATGAAGGGTGGAGAGAGCTCCAAGAAGTGTCAGCCCCCTGGGGCTTCCTGTTCCTTTTCGCCCCGTGGGGGTGGGGGTGGGAGAGGGGGACAGGATGCTAGGTTGTTACGAGGGTTACCGCCACCCCATCTGGGCAGTCCCAGTGTGTGTGGCCTGTCTGATAGCAGGACCGGTGGAGTTAGTTCTGGCTCTTTGTCTTCAGGGCAGCTTGGTAGATGGACGCATTATTGACACGTCTCTGACCAGAGATCCTCTGGTTATAGAACTTGGCCAAAAGCAGGTGATTCCAGGTATGTGACCTGTGCCTTTGTCCTCTTCCTAACTTAAGCCCTTGCTTAGTATCTTGACAATCTAAGTTACACTGGAAAGGCTCTTAGAATGAGTAAGACCCTAAGGATCTTTGGCTACCTCATATTCAAATTCTCTTCGTGTCCTACACATCACAGAGGGCTAAGAGATTGAGAAGTGGAGCAAAGCTCATTTGACGAAGGTCGACGGGAGCCTTTGATTTTTCTCTTGGGTGGCGTGGGGACTATTTTCCTCTTTGGTAGTATGTAGCTTCTAGTTCAGTTGTCTTCTTCCTCAAGGTCTGGAGCAGAGCCTGCTGGACATGTGTGTGGGGTGAGTATCAGGAGGGGGCAAGCCTGACTACCTTTGCGTGGGTGGAAGCTTTATCTGCCGTCCTGCGGCTCCAATAGACAGGACCTAGAATAAAGTACCCCTGAATTCATGGTGGAAAGGTGCTGGTCAGAGGGACTCTGAGGGCATCCAAAGCTGAGGGCACCTCTCTGGCTGTGGGTATGTGCGGGGTAATTAAGGGTGATTGGTAGCTTTGCTGGTGGTCAACCTGTTAGGTGGGAAAATTCACATTTTTGTGTCACTATCTGGTGGGAGGTGTTTCTGGTGGCACTGGGCCAGGGCTGCCAGCTCACCTCTCTCCTGCCTTCCCTCAGAGAAAAGCGAAGAGCAGTCATTCCTTCTCACTTGGCCTATGGAAAGCGAGGGTACCCGCCATCCATCCCAGGTAATTGATTGGGTAGGTTTTTTTCTCCCACTCCTCAAAACAGAGCCCTGAGAACCACACTCTGTTCTGTCTAGAACTTGACAAAGTCCATATCAAATCTGAGCAAAGGAGTAGCTCGGGCCCCTCCTTCTGGTCTACCCTTTTTCTCCAATAGAGACTACAGACAACCTGTTAGGGCCACATGGCTCCGATGTAGGCAGATGGTGACTTTTGATACCTTGAGCCCATGCCCATGGGTCTTGCTGCCTACACTAAAGTAAGTCATAAGAAACCAAAGGGCAATCTTGAGGGCCCTCACACAGCTGGTAAGGAGGTGACATGATGACTGATTGCTGGAACTCACCTTCACTGACTACTGCTGCTAACCTGTTCTGCAGGGCGCAGTTTGAACAGATTTTCCAAGATGGGATTTCTTGCCTTAGGTTAAAACCCCTGTTCTATTAGGTAAAATGTGATCTGTTCCACAGAGTTCTGGAAAGGAGATATATAGTGCTGGCTTTTAGGGAGTCCTGAAAAGAGGGTGGGGAGGACCAAGTGAAATCTCTCTTAACAAGCAGGTGTGGTGGTGCACTCAGGAGGCAGAGGCAGCTGGATTCGAGGCCAGCCTGGTCTACAGAGTGAGCTCTAAGATAGCTGAGGCCAGAGTGAGACCCTGTCTCAAAATTAAAACACGATAAAACTTTTAGCAAAACTCCCCCCTTCCCTGTGCTGCCTGTTGGCTTCTGTTTGAAACTGTCTGAGTCCTGACCACCAGCCTCCCCAAGTGTGCCTCTCTTTTACAGTCCTTCTTTGGACATTCTCTAATAATCTTGTTGTATGTGTTCATCAGCTGGTGGAACTTTTAAGGATATCTGCCCTTATTCCAGTTAATTATAGCCATATTCATGTGGCTTTTTGGAAATGGGGTCTGTTTGGTACAGAGGATTGTCACATAAATGCTTGCCTGTGGGGCCAGACAGATGGCTCAGAGGTTAAGAGCACTGGCTGCTGTTGAGGACCTAGGTTCAGTTCCACCATTTGGAACTCCAGTCAGTACCTGGGGAATCTGACACCCTCTCCTTACTCCATGGCATGTACATGTTGAACAGACATACATCAGGCAAAATATTCATATACATAAAATAACAATAGACAAATCTTTAAATAAATAAAATAATAAATGCTGACTTGTAAGTGTGGAAGAACCTGCATATTCCCCATCCACAGATTTCCTATGCTGTCAAAGACCTGTCATCGATTCCAAGCCATGTGTTTGGTTGTAGTTAAGGTTAACATAAGTGTTCTTAGCCTGCTCCTAACCCTGTCTGCTTTTTCTGAGGGAGCCCAACCCCACATTTCAAATGGCCAGAATCACAGTTATTTTCTTAGTCTACCCTGACTTAATCTCAATTCAGAGCTCTGGATAAATCACAGCAATCCTACATGTCCCTTCCCTGCCCACACAGCCTCTCCAGCAGATGCAGTGGTGCAGCTTCTAACATCTCCCCACCCACCCTCTGCCTTTCCAGCGGATGCAGTGGTGCAGTACGATGTGGAGCTGATTGCATTGATTCGAGCCAACTACTGGCAAAAACTGCTAAAGGGCATTTTGCCTCTAGTGGGCATGGCTATGGTGCCGGCACTCCTGGGTCTGATCGGGTATCACCTATACAAAAAGTCGAGCAGACCCAAAGTCTCCAAAAAGAAGCTGAAAGAAGAGAAACGAAACAAGAGTAAAAAGAAATAAATAGTGACCTTTAATAAGACTTTGCATTCTTCACTTGGTACTACTACCCCTTTCTCTTTTTTTTACTTATAATAGGGATGTGTGCAGATTGGCTGGAATGGGGAGATCAGACAACAGTGTGAAGCTGGTTCTCTTCTTCCACTGTAGGTGGGGTCCAGAGATGGAACTGAGCTCACCCCACTACAGAAACAGGTGTTTCACCTGTTGAGCCATCTCTCCGGTCCCCGCTTTTCTTCTGAGTCGGGTTCTTGTATTTGTAACCCATGCTGGCTCAGACTCTTGAGCCTCCTTGCTTGGCTGCAGTTACTGATGTGTGACAACACCCCCTGCTCACCCAATGCTTTGAGGCGGCTTTCTTGGGTAGAAACGAGCATTGTGAAGCTGGACCGTCTTGGAGCACCTCTTCCTCTGGCCTGCTCTTACTGTCCTAATTTTCCCCAGAAAGCTGATCTTGAATTTGCCTCTAGGTCCTTGGGGTGTATATTTGGTTCCCACGACACCATGATGCTGAGAAGGGAGCATATTTCACCTCATAGATGCCTAGGCACTCTCTCCCTGGGGCCAGAATGTTCCTCGTGTCCTTGAATATGGCAAAGACAATAAAGATCTCACAAGGGCGAAGAATAAGGCTCAGTTGGTAGACTGCAAAAACCTGAGCTCACTTGGCAGCACCAATAAAACTGATGTGGTGGTTGGTACACACCTGTAATCCCAGAGCAAACAGGAGGGTCAGAGTTCAAGGTCATCTTCAGCTACATAGGGGGTTTGAGGCCTACATGAAACCCTGGTTTGTTTGTTTTAAGGAACTTTTTTTTTAATAATTTATTGGAGCTGGAGAGATGGCCCAGCAGTTAAAGAGCACTGGCTGTTCTTCTATAGCATTCAGGTTCAATTCCCAGCACCTACCTGGCTGCTTACAACTGTCTATGACTCCAATTCCAGGGGATTTGACAACCTTCACACAGATACACACACAGGTGGAACACCATTGCACATAAAAATAAATCATGAAAAAAGTTGTATTACTTAAAAAAACAATTTATTGATTATACTGCATGGGATAGTGGTAGTCAATAACTAGAGTACTGTCAGGAGCCTCCTAAGTTTGTAATAAGCAAAGTACTCAGTCTCTGGGGTTTGGAAAGGTTCATCCTTGGATCACAGAGTGTGGGACACGATGTGGGCTGCTTCGATGACATTGTAAGTGGTTGGAGGCCTTCCGTCACCTGGCTGGGCAGGGGTGGACAGCTGGGGCAGGTTGCTTCTGTGGTTTACTATAAAGAGTGGGTTGAGCTGACTCAGCACCTCATCGCTCACTGAGATCCCATCCAGGTACTGTTTGAGCAGTTCCCTCAGCTTCCCGCTGATGTCCAACAGCTGCATGTGTCTGTGCTGGAGACTCAGCACCTCCAGCTTCACCTTGTTGTATCTCTTCCAGAAGTTCTCCATCCCTTTATAGTCCACCATGACCTGGAGTGGAGGTAGAGGAAGGAGGCAGGTGATGCTGCCTTCAGCACAAGCCCAACCCCGCCCTACCGTCCTGGCCATTACCTTGGCCAGATCCTCTGTGAGGTCTTCCGGGTTCTGTCTCTCCACCTCCTCCAGCTCACTGGGAGTCAGTACTGAGGAATAGAAAGGCAGTACTTTCTCTTCCTCTGTTTCAAATTTCCTACATATTTCAGCAAGCTTAAGGATCTTTTCACCCTGTTGGGAGTATGAAGAGGTGTTTTAGAGAAAACAAGATAGTTTCCCTGCTTGAGTCCAGGAGAGCTGCTCAGTCATCCAGAACCCATTTGATGAAGCAGCGCCTGCCATGAGCCAAACACTATCCCAGCCTTTCACATTCTTACCACAACCCGCAGCTCATTGTTACTTCTCTCTCTCTCTCTCTCTTCACCAGTTAAGAAGAAAGGCCTCTACTGGGGATGAGGAAACACACAAGCAGCAGACACACACGGGGGAGCCTGAGAAACTGCAAAGTCTTGTCTCTTTCAGAGATATGGGGTTGTAAAGCTCTCGAGAGTATTCCTCCCCCACTTTAGGCTTGGTCAGTTTAAAGTCTCTTAGGATGGTTGATTGGTCTGCAACTGTGTGTGACATGTCCTGATCAGGGTCTTGAACTTGCTAAGCCCAGGTCATCAGCAGGGGGCCTGCTGGTGGGAGACAAACACTGCCAGGCTTCCCCCTTGAGTCAGGAAGTTAAAGAAGAAGTGGCCATCTTGAAAATTCACCTCCTTTATTACCCAGCCATGGCTCCTCCTCTCCCTGTCTATCTACCAGGGAGTCTGTCCAACTCATGGTCTCTCATTATCCCTTGGCCCCCATCTCAGAGGTCACCTTAACTGCTCTTAGGGTGTTTGGGGGTGATAACCATTGCTCTTAGCTGCTTCAAACTGACAAAAGGTCAACATTGGGGGTCAGCCTCATAGAAGGATCTATGTTAAGGGTCCACGATAAAAACTTAACAACCAATGGTAATGACTTGGAATATAAGAGCCATTTGGTGACAGCATATATCTTTGGAGCTTGTCATATGACTGACAGATAGCATCTAGATAAGTCCGTATAGTCCTCAAAAGAAATCTGAAGATTAAGAAGAAATCCAGAGAAAACCCCCCAAAATGATTCAGTTTAGAAACAATATAGTCAAATGGATGGAACTTGAAGAGACCATCTGAGTGAGGTAACCCAGTCACAAAAAGAGGAACATGGTATGTACTCACTCCTATATGGATTTTAGACCTAGAGCAAAGGATCACCATTAGAGAAATTAGGATACAAGGAGGAACCTAAGAGAGTCACACAAGATCCCTCACAGAAGGGGAAAGGAACAAGATCTCCTGAGCATATTGGGAGAGAGGGAGGCAGTGAGTGGAGAGGGAGCTTGAAGAAAGAGAAGGGGAGGGGGGCTGGAGAGATGGCTCAGTGGTTAAGAGCATTGACTGCTCTTCCAAAGGATCTAGGTTCAATTCCCAGCACCCACATGGCAGCTCACAACTGTTTGTAACTCCAGTTCCAGCGAATCTGAAACCTTCCCACAGATATCAATGCATATAAATTTAAAAAAAGAATTATCTGTTTAAAAAAGAAAGAAAGAAAGAAAGAGAAGGGGAGGAGAGGAGAACATGTGGGACTAGGAAAATTGAGTTGAGGGACAGATAGATGAGAGAAAAAAAGAGGGGGTACATGATAGAGGGAGCCAGTATAGGTTAGGAGAGAGAATAACTGACTCTAGAGAAGGGTCCAGAGACCTACAAGGATGACCCCAACCAACAATCTGAGCGACAGTGGAAAGGCTGCCATAAATGCCCTTCCCTGATAATGAGACTGATGACTACCTTACATGCCATCATAGAGCCCTCATCTAGTAGCTGATGGAAACAGCTAAACACTGAGCCAAACGAGAATCCAGATGCAGAGATGGAGGAGTGATAAGAAAATGAGGACAAGACCAGGCTACAGAAACCCACAGAGACGGCTGACCTGAACAAGGGGGAGCTCATGGACCCCCAGACTGACAGCTGGGAAACCAGCATTACACTGACTCAGACCCCCTGGACATGGTCTCAGTTAGAAGGCCTGGGCAGTCTAAGGGGCCTCTGAGAGTGGAACCAGGATGTATCCCTGGTGCACAAAAGGACTTTGGGAGCACATTCCCCATGGGGGGATACTCCCCTATCCTAGAGGCAGGAGAGAGGGGCTAGTCCCTACTCCAAATGACTTTTCAGATTTAGGTGACCCCTCCTGGAAGGCATCACCCTCCCTGTGGAGTGGGTATGGAATGGGACAGGTAGGGGTGGGGGAATGGGAGGGAGGGAGAGGGGACTGGGATTGATATGTAAAATAAGAAATAATAATAATAATAAAAAAGAAAGAAACAATACAGTCTAGGGGTCTTAACTGGGTTCATTTCCTCTGCCAGTTAAAGTATTAAAAAGTGGGAAAAACCTGAAGCCCAGCAGGTAGCAATGGAGAAATCTCAAGTTTGAGCCTGCACTGCAGACAGGATTAGCAGTTGTCAGCATTTATTGGGGTAAGGAAACACATACCCATGCATCAGACACACAGAAAAAAAGACCCTCTGCAAAGCACAGTGGAGACTTGGGAAGCTGAAAGGTCCCTAGTCACTTAAAAAAGAGAACAGAGTAAAAAAAAAAAAAAATGCTAACACAGCGTTGACTTAATGAAGGAGGAGGAGGTAGCACTACCCCATGTCTCCTGAATCCCTTCTGCCTCCCGCCAGGTTTCTTGGTTCTGTCCTCATTGCCTTCTCCCTTTTACCTTCTCCACCACCTTTTTCAGTTCCTTGAGGGTGGTGTTACTTTCCAGGGTGAGTTTGACTAAGTTCTCCTGGGACACTCCCCGAGCCTGCGTCCTTTGGGCCTTCAGCTTTCGGAGCTGTACGTGGACTAGCTCCTTGTCGTTGCGGACACACTGGTTCTGCCATTCGCTTTCACGGCTGTGGACTATGATCTTCCCTTTCAGGGTATTTATGGCCTCCTAGAGGGACAGTAGAGGCAACTGACAAAGGGAGACAGGTCAAAGGGTAGACTGGGAACTAAGTGCAGAGTCTGTCATCTTGACCCAACTAATGAAAGGCCCAGAAGAATCTGGGGGAAGAAATGGACAGATGGAACGCTGAGCTGGAAAGTGTCTTCAGTTGAGCACTGACCTGCAGCTTCTGGATTTTTTTCATCTGTATTTCAATCTCTTTGGAGCTTTTCTCATCCTTCACCCTCAGAGTCTCAAAGGCAATCTTCCGGTCCTCCGTGGCATCAGTGTAGTTCTTGAGTGCATCCTGGAATCTTCTCCATAGATCCTCCACTATGTTCTCCAGTTGTAGGCGGAGAAAGTGCTTCTCTTCTAAATTCTAGGAAATGTATCCCAAAACCAAATACTTGGAGTTATCCTGTGCTGTCTGTTCACTCCTGCCGGCAGCCTTATCCCTCGGGAACCGTTTGGAGTGTTGTTTAGTGAATTATATTTGGAGTGCAGTCCATCAGGAGCTAGACAGGAAGGCATGGGGGTGGGCCCACCTCCATGAGAATGATGCCAATTAGAAACAGAATGAGGAGCTGGGCAGTGGTGGCACATCTCTGTGAGTTCAAGGCCAACCTCGTCTACAGATCGAGTTCTAGGACAGGCTCTCAAAACTACAAAGAAACCCTGTCTTGAAAAACCAAAACCAAACCAAACAAACAAAAACAAAACATCAGAATGAGGCCCAGTGTTCCAAATCTCTTAACTTTTTGTTTTGTTTTCTGAGACAGTTTCTCTGTGTAGCTCTAGCTGTCTTGGAACTCACTAGGTAGACCAGGCTAGTCTTGAACTCAAGAAATCTGCCTGCCTCTGCCTCCTGAGTGCTGTGACTAAAGGTGTGTGCCACCCCACCACTACCTGGTTCAGATTTCTTAACTTTTTAAAGAGAAACTGATAGTTTGGATTTCTATGTGAAATCTTTTCAATTTTCACATGTAGGAAATTATTAAAACTGTAAAGTAAAACACTAGCTAAATTAGAAGCAAAAGTTTTACGGAGTTTCCAGTAGAGTGCGTCTCTAGTGTTGAAGCAGGTTGTATGTGATGGTGCATGCCTGCTACCCGACTCTGGAGGCAGGGAGAGCAAAGGTTTAAGGTAAAAACAAAAAATTAGTTCCAGATCATCTCCACCACATAGAGAGTGAGTTCAAGGTCAGCTTGGGCAAAGAAAGATGTTGTCTCAAAAGTAAGTAAATTAATGGATTACTTAAACCAAGAATTCTATAGCCAAACTTCTGCATGTTGGCTAGATTTGCAAACTCCATGATGGAAAGAATTATGGATCAAAAGTCTAGTTACTTAGATTTGTTTCTTTATCTACAACTCAAAAGGGTGAAGCCAGGATAATCTCTGGGTTTGTTGTTGCTGTTGTTGGCCGTGGGGATGGGTTTTGTTTGGTTGGTTTTGCTTTTTCCCTTAAAATGTATTCTCCTAACATATTAGAACAGTCCTGCCTCCCAAGCAGTTTTCACAAGATCACAAAGAAGCATGTGGACACCTCAGTGGCACATTTTGTTGACTATTGGCTCTGGTGTTGTCACCTAACCCTGACTGCCCTGAACAGTCTCGTCCCATTTCTCCAGACCCCGTCCCCCCATTCTTCTCCTCTACCTTGTTTTTCAGATCGTCCCACATGCTCTGGAACTCCAGCTTGCTCTCATACTCAGAATCTATATAGTTCTGCTCCATGGCCATGAAGACGTCCTGTAGGTAGTGAATTTCTTTCTCGTGCTGGTCAATGATTGTCTTCCTAAAGGAGACATGATGGACATAGCATGTGACCAAAAATAACAAAAATATGTAATACAACTATGAATGGGAAGGTGTGGTGGCACACTTCTTTATTAGTCTTAGCCCTTGGGAGGCAGAGGTAGGCAAGTATGTGAGTTAGAGGGCAGCCTGGTCTACATATGTTCCCAGCCAGCCAAGGATACACAGTGAGGCTCTGTCTTAAAAAATGAAAACAAAACTATGGATGGCACAAACTTTTAAGGACTGCCAGGGAGGGAGGGAAAGTTTTTGGTTTTTGTTTTTACCAGAAAGAATGAATAAGAATATTTTGATTTTTGAATAGGTAATACCTTCATATGACACACCACACAAACAAAGTCCAAGTAAGCTTACAGTGAAACCCTCTCCCTTCCCTGTCTACTGCTGGATGGATAGAGCTTTGATGGCTGGGATTAGAGGTACAAACAGGGACCTGGCTGGGGCCCCGGAAGCTGTGCCTGTAAGATTAAACCCAAATCATTTACAAGAAACTTGGGACCCTCTCTGCCTGGGATTATGATTAGGAAGGAGGCTCCTAGGTACTAGGGACAGGCTGTGGTCACTCCCCTGAAGCCAGTCTCTTGACTCTCTGGCCCCATACCTTTCTGTCTCAAACTCTTTCGTTAGGACCTCTAGCTCCATGTTGTAATTTTCCTCCAGGAGGCTGAGACGGCGTCGCTGCAGGGTTAAGAGCTGGTCAACGTTGTGCAAGTGGCTACGAAGAGCGTGGGCATACTGCTCCTCAGCTTCCGTCAAGTCCTTAGCCAGGGACTAGGCAGAGGGGAGAGAATTACTGTTCTGCCCAAGTGGCATCCGTGAGAAGATAAAAATGGATTCAAGTTGCTGGGGATAGGGATCACCTGGGTTGCCAGCACCCACAGAAGTCTGGTGTGGTGACAACCCTGTAATCCTGGGTTTGGGGGAGTAGAGATGGTGGGGGGGGGGTCCTAGGTCTCACTGACCAGCCAGACAACCCAATTTGGTGAGTGAGCTCCAATCCAAAATATAAGGTGGAGAGCAAGTATGGACAACACTTGATGACAACCTCTGGCCTACACACGAACACACACATGCACGCACACACACATTTAGCTATCTGGCTAAGTGGATGGAATGACGGAATTTCCCTCTTCCTAATGATTTTAGGAATGCTGTTTCTCCCATTCAGTCTTCAAAATTTAAGCTTTATTTATTGTTCGTATATATGCATGTCTTTCTAAGGTTATGTGTACTGCAGGTGCTCCAAGAGGCCAAAGGAAGCCAGAGGCCCTCAGATTTCCTGGAATGAGAGCTACAAGCAATTGTTAGTTGCCTAATGTGGGCACTGAACTCCAACCCAGGTCCTCTGAAAGAACTGGAATAGCCATCTCTCTAGCCCTTCCCATTCAGTCTTGATGCAAACCAAAATGACATCTAGAAATGTAGGGAAGAGTCCTGGTGACACATGCCTTCATTCCTACTACTCAGGAGGCAGAGACAAGTAGATATCTGAATGCAAGGCTAGCTTGGTCTACACTAAGAGTTCCAGGCCAGCTAGGGCTACATAGTAAGACCCTGTTTAAAAAGAATAGCATTGGGGAGAGCTGGAGAGATGGTTCAGCAGTTAGGAACATCAGCTGCTCTTTCAAAGGTCTAGGGTTTGATTCCCAACACCCACATGGAGGCTTGGCTCACCACCATCTGTAACTCTAGTCCCAGGGGATCCAATACCTTTTTCATGGGCACTGCATGTATATGGTGCACTTAACATACATGGGGACACTCAGATATAAAATTAAATATTTTTTTTTCTAAAGAAGCGTGAAGTGGGTCAATGTCTTGTGGATCACAAACATTTACACTGATGGAGCCACCATTTAAAAAAAGCCAGGTATCCTTGGGGAACTGGATGTTTGAGGGAAGAATATACCTTGAACCTAATTTATCTTCTTATACAAATTAGCAAGGTAGCCATGGTGATGCACATGCATATTACCAGGGCCCTGAAGCAGGAGCATTGTGAATATCCTGGGTTATGTAATGAGTTTGCAGCCCTCCTGGTTATTTAATAAGACGTGTGTGTGTGTGTGTGTGTGTGTGTGTGTGTGTGTGTGTGCGCGCGCGCGCACGCTGAGACAGTATCTCACTATGTAGCTCTAGTTGGCCTATAACTAACTATGTAAACCAAGCTGGCCTCCAACTCACAGGGATCTGCCTGCCTCTGCCTCTGCCTCCATAATGCTAGGATTAAAGGTGTGCACCACCACACACAGCAAAATTATTTTACAAATTAGGGATGTATTTCAGTGGTAGAATGTTTGCCAGGCATAGATGAGGTCTAGAGTTCGATCCCTAGTACGACAAGCAGGAAACAAAAAGCAAAGATGCTATTGAAGACCAATTAAGTCATGTCAGAGTGATTCAGGGGCCGGCAGGAAGTAGCTTCTTGTGGCAGACTATACTGCAAAGATGAGTACACTCCCATTCTACAATTCTCTGCAATGGAACTTTGTCATTCCTCCACCAAAGATAGAGTCTCATTTAGCTAGTGAAATTTGCTTGCAATCCCAGCCTTTGGGAGGAAGGAAGATTGGGAGTTTGGAAGCTAGAGAGATGGCTTAGAGGTCAAGAGCACTTGCTCCTTTTCACAAAGACCTGAGTTCAGTTTCCAGCATTGAAGTCATGTGCCTCACAACTGCCCATAACTCTAACTCCAAGGGATCTGACACCCCCTTCTGGCCTCTGTGGGCACCTGCACTCACATGCACATCCCCCACATACAAGACACATACATACACATAATTTAAAAATAACAGTTGTTAAGATCATGAGTTTGAAGCCAGAAAGACTCATCTCTAGAGTAAGGCCAGAAAGAAGGAAGGCAGGAGTGGGAAGGAGGGAGGACAGGAGAAAAGAGTTCTCTTTTCCACTTTCGTGAATTTGAGTAACCTTACGATTTTTGGAATGAATAGAAGAGGATAAAATGGCACTTGGAACTGTACCAGTTCCAACTCAGCCCTTTCTCTGGCCTGGCAGCTTCCATTTCCTGCCTCTTGGAATGCCTGTTCTCGGGAATGCTCCTCCAGGAACTGAGCTAGCTGTGAGAAACCCAAAGCGCATGGAGAGGTCCTGTGACTTATAGTCACCAGCTCAGCTGGACTCCTGGCTGCCAGCTGAAGCAATGCTAAGCCATCAGGCCGAGGTGAATCTAGTGGCAAATGACAGACTGACACACTGTTCTTGCTTGGGAAAGACAATCACCATGGGGCTAAGGATGTGTTGTGTTGCTTTCCTGGAGAAACAGGGACAATTATCCATTTTCCCCAGAAGAGATAGAGACAGACTAACAGTTCTGCCAGAATCCACCTTGGTAAACCAGTTTATTGGGTTCCTTGGAGGAGCTGGGTAATAGCTAACAAAAGCTGCACCCACAGCTTAGCTGGTCTGAGGGTCCCTTCTCTCCAGCAGTTGTTTTGCTTATATAACTCAGGGAGGAGACTTGTCAATCCTTTTTCTGTTTTGGTGTGTGTGTGTGTGTGTATGTGTGTGTGTGTGTGTGTGTGTGTGTTTTAAGACAGTTTCTCTGTGTAGCTCTGGCTGTCCTGGAACTCACTCTGTAGATCAGGCTGGCCACAAACTCATAGATCTGCCTGCTTCTCTGCCTCCTGAGTGCTCCACCACTGCCCAGTTAACACTTTGGAGGCTGAGGCAGGGATAGTGCCATGAATTTCAAGACCAGCCTGGACTCAGAAGGTTTGAAGGCAGTTATGTAGATCTGGCTGTGTAGCACAACCCTATGATCCTGCAGTTGGGAAGTGAAGACAGGAGGGTGAAGAGTTCAAGGACATCCCCAATTACATCATGAGCCTGAGACCAGGATGGGGACATATGACCTTGTTTCAAAAAAGCATGAATTCCCTAGGCAGATTTTACTCAGATAGGTCAAGGAAGCCACCCTCCAGCGTGCTTGGGAGACAGCGATACCTTGATGACACTGTCCTTGCAGTCCACCACTCGTTCGAAGGTTTGGCTGAGGATCTCGATGTCCTTGTGAAGCTCTCTGGTCTTGACCTCCCTAAGGACAGTTCTCCACTGTGTGTTAATCTTATTAAGGTTCAGAGCACTGTTGTGTTCTTCCTTGGCCAGCTTGTCCTGTGTGAGGAATAAACACGCCCGTTTCAGCCAAGGCCAAAGGTCTACCACAGTACAACGGATACCACTCTGAAAAATACCAGCTCTCATGCATTCTCAAGTACTAAAGCTATTGGCAACCAACACCCAGAGGCTCCCGTTTGTGTTTTTCAAGGTGAAAAGCCAGAAGGAAGACTTTTAATGACCCTATTCCAAAACATCAGGATTCTCAAGACAGCTGAATTTGGACACTTAACAGCATCTACTGTCCTAATTCTGGAGTTCAGTTGATACTTCCAATCTCCATTCCCCGTCCATGCTCCACATAGAACTCCCTAGGCCTAAAACAATGTTTCCTGAAACTCATGTATTTTGGGACCAAGGAGGCACTGGCGGGGTGTTAAATGAGCCGGCCATAATGACCCAGGCGACAGCGACAGCGCATGGGCGGTAGGTTTGGGCAAGACACATTGCGGACAAGCATAACCTTCAAGAACTGGGTGAGAAGTCTCTCTTTCTTCTTGGCTGCCTCCTCCTCTGCCAGCAACTTCTGCTGAAATAGAATCAGCTGCTCCTCATCCGATAAGGGTATCTTGGACTTTTTTCCTTTTTTAGGCATAGCTGGGCGGCGGCCTGCGTCCAGGAAAAAAACCTCAGTTATCCACCAAGAGAGCTCAGGCAGCCGACGACACCCGGCTCCAGAGCGGAACGATGCATCTTGTCTCCTAGCAACAAGGACCTTCGCTAAGACCGTGGCCGGAGTGAGAAATTAGGAGGTGAGCCCTATTTCTTAGCGCCCCCTGCACGCTGGAAGACCGCAGTCAGTTCTTGCGGAGAGAGCCTGCGAGCCTTTTATCATAATCCTAGCCTCCCGCCCTGGCCTTTCTCTTTCCTTCAAATATTTTTTTTTCTATTTTATTTTATTTTTTTTTTTTTTGGTATGTGTGTTTTGCGGCAATGTATGTCTGCATACCTGGGCATGCCTGGTGCCTGCAGAGGCCAGAAGAGGGTTGATTCCATGGAACAGACCAAGACCACTTACATACATATTCACATAATCTTTTTTGTGGGTGGTGTACCAGGCTTTTTCTTTTGGGCCACCAACCAGCTCCCAAATCGTGACACAGAGGGTTCTTATTAGTTATGGCTGCTCGACCTAGCTTAGGCTTCTTTTTGGTTCGTTCTTTTAACTTAAATCAACCCGGTTCTTTTTATCTACCTTTTGCCTCGGGGCTTTTATCTTTCTTTATTCTATAAGTCCTTCCCTTTTTACACCGTGGCTAACTGGGTGGCTGACCCCTGGCCTCTCCCTCTCTCCTTCCTTTCTCCTCTCGTTCTTCCTGAGCCTAGATCTCTCCTCAGATTTATTCTCTCTGCCCACCAGCCCCACCTATCCTTTCTCCTGCCTAGTTATTGCCTGTTCAGCTCTTCATTAGAGCAGTCGGGTGCCTTAGGCAGGTGAGGTGAAGGAAATGCCACACGTATTTACATAGTTAAACAAATGCAGCAGAAACAAAAGTAACACATCTTTACACAGTCAAAGTAATATTCTGCATAAACAAATGTAACACAGCCTGGTGGTGGCACATACCTTTAAGGCCATCACTCGGGTGGCAGAGGCAGGTGGATCTCTTTGCGTTCAAGGCCAACCTGATCTACAAAGCTACACAAAGAAATCCTGTCTCAAACTCCCCCCCCCCGAAAAGTAAAATCCCAAAATAACAAAGTAAAACAAAACAAAATAAAAAACAAATATAACACATCTTTGCCTAGTTAAAATAATATTCCACAACAGGTGGGCAAGTAAGAAGGCGTGATAGGTAAGGGAGCTGCTACCAAGCCTGATGACCTGAGATCACAACTGTAAGGATTCAGGCATTACATTGGCCTGCCCCTGTCATCTGGCAGAATGCACTCAGGCAGTACCCTGGTCAGCCCAGGATTCCATGAGTACAGATCTGCACGCAGGTGCAAAGGACCCCTTTAAAACAAAGACCCTGCCCACTTACCATCTCTTTTGCTTTCCTTGTTCTTTTGCTCTTTGCTTTTCTTTGCTCTTTCCAGCTCTCTCTCTTTCCCTCCCTCCCTCCCTCTCTCCTTTCCTCCCTCCCTCTCTCCATCCCCCCCCCCTCACCTCTTTTCTTCTGTTCCTGGTGCCTCTATGTCTCTTCCCTTCCCCCTCACTCCCCTTTCTAGATAAGCTCACTTAAGCTCTGTCTGCCTGGCTTGTTATTCCTTCCGCCTCTTCCTTCTGCCTTGGCCACCTTCATCTGCTATGGAACCTGCTATGCTCTCCCACGTGGTCCCTTACCTTGGGACCCCCACTCGGGACACCCCCCCTTCTCCAGCTTTATTCCTATAACTGTAACAAAAGAAGAACAACCACCACCAATAACTCCAGCTTCAGGAGTTCAAATCCCTCTTTCTGGCCTCAGTGGACACTGCACTTGTGCATCAACACGGGTATATACATAAGTGTTTAACTTTTTAAATGGTCTCCTTGGAGATGGAGAGATGGCTGAGAGGATAAGAGCACTGGCTGGCTGCTCTTGTAGAAGATCTAGATTCAGTCCCAGTACCCACATGGCAGCTCACAACTGTCCATACGTTTCAGGAGATCTGACTCCCACTTCTGATCTCTGTGGGCACCAGGCACACACCTGGTGCACATACATACACACAGGCAAAACAGATGCACATAAAACAAATCTAAAAATATTTTGAGACAGCATCTCATTGTATAGCCCTGGTTTGCCAGAAACTCACTATATAGACCAGGTTGACCTCAAACTCATAAAAACCCATCTGTCTCTGCCTCCCCAGTGCTGGGATCAAAGGTATGCATTACCACTTCCAGCTTTAAAAAAAAAATCCTTCCTTTAAAGGGCAAAATTCTGTGAATAACAAAAACAAAAAGCAGTGGTGTTTCCTTTGTGTGAACACCTGCAGCCGAAGGAGCATCATAGCTCTCCAGCCACACCAGCACGGCTCAGGCAGCCAGGCGCATTCTTCTCTCCATGTCTGAGCCTTCCAAGCTGGCTTGCGTTTCCATTTAATCCGTACAGGACCTTTGCTTCACTCTGACTCATCCTGGGATTCTTTTCTGTGGTAGATGTACCCTCGAGGACCCAAGCCGAAGTCCCTATGGCTTCACTGGAGACTCCTTGGGCTGCGCTGCCAGCACCATTGAGTTGTATTTCTTGCTGGCAGTGACAATGTTATTCTGAAAATTACACGAGATAGTCAGAAAAACAAGCTTCAAAGACAGAAAGTAGATAACAATTGCAACCCTAACTGCTCTTAACAAGAGTAGGAGATGGGGCCCTGGGGGAGCAATGCTGTGTAGACTCAGGAAGGCAAGCTCCCTTAATTGGATTAGTGTCCTTAGCAGACAAAGACAAGACTGGGAGATGGCTCAGTGCTTAAGAGCACAGGCTGCTCTTCCAGAAGACCCAGGTTCAATTCCCAGCACCCACATGGTGGCTCACAACCATCTGAGACTTTCTTCAGGCCTCCTCAGGCACCAGGCATATTTGTGGTGCAGACATGCCTGTAAGCAAAAACACTTATACACTTTAAAAAACAGAAAACTAAATAAATTCAAGATGAGAAAGTGACAAATAGGCCTTTGAATATACCAGAAGACAGCCTTCCAAGACCATGGTGGGTCCTTCTTTGACTCCAGATCTATCAGTACCATATTTGTACACATCTGGGTCTCTAGGCTGAGAGAAAAAGTACTAGCTGTTGAAGCCACACTGTGTATTGCATTCTGCCCTAGCAATGTGAAATAAGATAGATGTCTAAGATAGATGTCGTTTGTCAGGGAGGGGAGATTAATAGTCCATGTGCATGAAGGACCATGTGGAATGGTGAAAATGGTCTAAAACTGAGTCGTGTTGCACAGCTTGATATATTTAGTAGGTTTTAAAATAAGACTTGCTGTGTGTGTGTGTGTGTGTGTGTGTGTGTGTGTATGGGTGTGTGTGTGTGTGTGTATGTGTAGGTGTGTGCAGAGGATGGAAGAGGGCACTGAATCCCTCATAGCTGGAGTTAGCAGTGGTTATGAGCCATCCATGAATGTTGAGGAGAGCAGCAAACTCTCTCAACCACTGAAGCATCTCTCCATCCTGATAAATATGTTTTAAAAGTCATTGAAGATGGGTAGGGTGGTGCTTGCCTTTAATCTCAGCATTCAAGAGGTGGAAGCAGGTGGATCTCTGTGAGTTCTCATCCAGACTGGTCTTATAGGAAGTTCCAGGACAGCTAGGGCTGCAAAGAGAGACCTGGTGTAAACAAACAATCAACAACGAAAAATTGTCAAGGGGCTGGAACAATGACTAATGACCATTTGTTACTCTTTTTTTTTTCTTATTTTACATGTTGATCACAGTTCCCTTTCCCTCCCTCCCTCCCACCCTCTCTCCCCCCTCACATGCACCCTGACCACCCTTCCCTCCCATCCCCCACTCCCACTCCACATGTAGGGCTATGCTATTGAGGTGGGGTCATGTAACTCTGTCAAGTCATTTGAAGTAGGGACTAGGACTTCTCTCCTGTCTCTAGGTTAAGGCAGTTATCCCTCCATGGGGGATGTGTCCGCAAGGTCCTTTTGTGCACCAGGAATACAACCTGGCTCCACTGTCTGAGGTCCCTTAGACTGCTCAGTCCTTCTAGCTGAGACCCATATTCAGGGGCATTTGTTACTCTTAAAGGGGACTCTGGTTGGGTTCCTACCTACTGCATGCAGTAACTCCAGTTCCAGGGGATCTGATGCTCCCTTATGGCCCCTTCTATCACTGTATGCATGTGGTATACATGAAGCATGTAGGCATCTGAAAATATTATATAACAATTGTAATTATATAATATTATAATTACTATTACCATAATTATTTTGTTTGTTTATTTGAAGGGTTTTTATGTAGCCTTAGATGGCCTGCAGCTTGCTATATAGACAAGACTAGCCTTGAGCTCACAGAGATCTGTCTGCCTCTGCCTCCCAAATGTTGGGATTAAAGGTGTGTGTCTGGCTGACTATTCTTACATACAAACTTTCGTATCCAAACATAACAACAATGCTTTTCATCTTCTGCTCTCTCCCTGGCCTTGTGTCCCTGTTTGGTATAACTATCTCCTCCTACTGCCCATTCTGCTTTGCCCTTCTCTATAATAAACATGGTTAGCAGGCTGTGCTTTTTTAATCTGGTGGGATTTCTGAAGGATATGGGCTATTCATTGTCCTACCTATATTGTTGTCATTTTCTCAGACACAGCAGGACTAGGAGAGGCCCTAGAGATGTCCTGTATTTCAGACTTATTCTTACTTACCTCCACCATGGAGTAGTGTACCAATTTCTCCTTGTTATCAAAGATGAATTGTTTCCAACAATGCCATAACTCTATTCTTGGTCTGTTGACTCAAAGTCATGAAGAGCCCAAAGTGGCCAAAGCTTAATCTCAACTTCCAGTTCCATAAGTCATTGTGCATCTCCCAGTGGGAGAGCATTCCTCCCTAGAGAGAGCTAGGCCATAGAGCAGGGGGACAGGAAGTCAAGAGTGACAGTGCTTAGTGGGATCCCAGAGCCTTCATTCTTCTCTTTCCCCTCCTTTCCCTCCCTTCCTTCCCCTGCCCCATATGTGCTCTCTCTCTCT